CCAGCAAATTCAAAAGATTAATGATAATGATGGTGGTGATGATGATGATGAATGTGATGGTAATGATGATGGTGATGATGATGGTGACAATGGTAATGATGATGATGGTGATGATTATGATGATGGTGATGATGATGGTGATGATGGTGGTGATGATGGTGGTGATGATGGTGGTGGTGATGATGATGATGATTCAAGGGCTGGGGATAAGGCTCCATGGGTAAGAACACTTGCTGTGAAAGCATCAGAACCCGAGTTTAGAGCCACAGCACCCATGTATAAAGCCAGACAAATCATGTGTGCATATAACTCCAGTGCTGGCTAGCGGTGGTAGGGGGTGAATGGGGAGACAGAAGGATTTAGGGGGCTGGCTGGGCACCAGCCTAGGGGGAAAACAGCAAGCTCTGGATTCAGTAGGAGAGCCAGTCTCAAGAAAATAAGGCCAAGGAAGACACTGATGTTTAAATTTCATCATTGTCCTGGAAATCTTCAATTTAATTTGAAAATATCTAGTGGATGTTTTCTGTCAGATAAATAGTTTACAAGGGGCTGGAGAGATGGCTCAGAGGTTAAGAGCACTGACTGCTCTTCCAGAGGTCCTGAGTTCAATTCCCAGCAACCACAAGGTGGCTCACAACCATCTACAATGAGATCTGGCTCCCTCTTCTGGCCTGCAGACAGAACACTCACTGTATACATAATAAATAAATAAATCTTAAAAAAAAAAAAAGAAATAGTTTACAAAATGAAATAAAGAACAAACATTTAGGACAGATGAAATAGAATTAGTAGAGTCATGTAGCTTTACCTAGTGGAAGTAGAGCTGGACTCTCAAGGTGACGGCACTTGACTCTCCTGTCTCTACCCATCTCCACATAGTCACATGCCTCAAATGCCCAAGTTCTGGTTCTTCCAAAGCCAATGAATGCAAGGGGGTCTAAAGACATTGTACTATAGAGGCAGATTACCAGTACCATGGATTAGAAGAATTCTACTAAGTATGGTATGTGGGCAGCCCACAGTGACATCTGTCCCAAGTGAAAATCCTTAATAACTAGCATGCCAACCTACAAAAGTGGCTACAAAATCTAAACCTTCAGAAACTGTCTCAGGAAACTCTGATGCAAGTTCAAGTTCCGACCTAGAATTAGGTAAGAAAGAGGTCTCTTTCAGTTCATAATACCAGTCTTGATATTTTCCCATTAGAACTTGTTTAGACAATAATCACGAAATGATGCTTCTGAACAGTCCAGTTGGGCATCCTACAGTTGTTAATGGATACTCAGGGCAATGTGGCAGTCTGGAAAATGTTTGCTCAGGATCATAGCTCCGCATCCATAAGGACTGTGGTCCTACTTTACCAGCTTCAGACACAGTCCTGCAGCGGACGTAAAGGCCAGCACTTCCCTCTACATCCCCCAAGCCTCACTTCTTATACAATTAAAGCAAGGTGAGAACAAAAATCACAGGATACAATTAAAAATTCATGTTTTAAGTTTAGAGATAACTCTGCCACTCGTAGAGCAATGTCCATTTCCAGGTGATGAGATTATAAATGGCTGTTTTCCTTTAAACCTCCTCCTGTCTTTATTCCTTTCTCGCTGCTGCAACAACACAGACCGGCAATAGCAACTTAAGGGAGAAAGGACTGGTTTGGGCTCACGGTTCAGAGAGAGACAGTCCTGTGTGGTGGGAAAGACACAGCAGCAGGCAGAGACAAGCAGGTGGCTGGATCAAGGGGCTGGCTGGTCACGTCGCAGCATCCACACTCAAGAAGCAGTGAAAAAGAAGTGGCCCGGGGCCAGGCTAAGAAACCCCCCGGTGAGTCACTCTCTCCAGCAAACTCCCACCTCCTAAAGTTCCTTCATCTTTCCAGAAAGTGCCATGAACTGGGGGGCAAAGATGTAAACCTATTGGGGGCTGGGGGTCATTTTAGATTCAAACCATAACTTCAAATTTGAGGTTACAATTTTTTAAAAGGTTTTTGAGTTTAGAAATATGTAGTTCTGTTAATGATGTTCATTTGAGACTATGAATAGCTTTTACTTTATGCCTCCTGTGTTTAAATTCTTTTAAACAATAGCTCTCTATTGGTTTTTATTTTATGAAAAAAATTTTCATTGACAAAGATGTCCTTTTTCTTCCCTTCCTGAGCCTTTTCTCTTTCCTCCTTTCTTTTCTTGAGATGGGGCCTCAGGTAGCCCAGGCTGGCCTAGAACTCACTATGGCCTGTACTTCCTGATCTTCCTGCCTCTGCCTTTACCGTCTAAGCCGTGGGATTAAATGGACATACACCACCAAACCCAGCTGGATGCTTCTCAAAGTGGATTTGAAGTGTTTGGGACTAACATTCTGCGCTTTCCTCCTAATGGAAGGAGGCAGAGTCAAGACACTGTGGTTGTTTGCGAAGCTGCCTTTGGAAGGCTTATACACTCTTTAATGGCAAATGGAAGGATGACAGACAGGGACAGGCTGTGTTCTAAGACTTTGGGGGAATATCTCAAGTCAGGCCAAATATAGAAAAGTCAAATATTGCCACACATAAAACCAAACCAAAATTATAATATGGTATTTAACTATAAGATCCCAAATTTTCACAACCTAACTACTCAGAATTTGGAATTTAGGATGTATTCTTACAATAAAAAAATTACACTTGTTTACTCATCATTATCTTCATTACTGGAGAGAGAGAGAGAGAGAGAGAGAGAGAGAGAGAGAGAGAGAGAGAGAGAGAGAGAGAGAGAGAAAGGCATGTTCATGTCACAGTGAGTGGAGGTCAGAGGACTACTTACAGAATGTCTATTCTCTCTTCCCACTATGTGGATTCTTGGAATTGAACTCAGGTTGTCAGGCTTGGTGGCAAGTGCTTTTACCTTCTGAGACATCTCTCTGATTCTAGGGTGTATCCTTTTTAAAAAAATAAGTTTTGAGATAAAATTCATGTAGTTGTTTCCTGTTCAAGCGTGCGATTTAATGATTTGTTGTTTTCTAGCATATTCACAGTTGACCAGCCACCACTAAGTTTAGAAAATTTTTATCACCCCCAAAACAAACCTTAAACCTATTTGTAACCATTCTTTATTTTCCCTTAATCCCCAGTGACCATGAATTTGCCTTTGTGGGTTTCCGTTTCTGACATATATGTTGATTTTTGTGTCTTATTTTCTTACAAACGTAATGTATTTTCAAGGTTAATCTGTGTTGAAGTATGTATCAGTACTTCATTTTTTCCAGCCCAAATGTCATTGTAACTATGTACATTTTGCTTATTCATTTTTCAGGTGGGCATTTGGATTGCTTTTCGGACTTTCCTATTGGTGATAACGCCATATTATCACTGACACACCCACATGGCTCTGCACAATGGCAAGGGATCAGCCTCGATGTTCACGAGCAGATGGATGGATGTTGGAATTGTTACACACACACACACACACCAATTGAATTCCATTGTAAAGAAAAACAGAATTTGCTGGAAAGTGAATGGAACTGGAAACCATTATTGTAAGTGGGGTAGGCCGGGCTCAGAAAGACAAATTGCACACATTCTCTCTTACATGCAGATCCTGGCCTTTGTTAAACATGGGCTTTCAGGTGGGAGAAAATAAAGGTGAAGACCAGGAAACTAGAAAGGGGCCTAGGAGACTAAGGGTGGCTCTGAGTGGGGAGGTGGGGACGGCAATATGGAAGGGGGTGATGCTTGTGAGAGGGAACACAGCTGGGGTGTGCATGGGGATGGATCAAAATGAGATCTGTACCACAACTCCATGTGGAAACCTATTATTTCCCAAGCAAAAAGTGCAAGCGACGTTCATTCATGTTTTTGGGTTTTCAGTTTTGTGCAGATACCTGGGTGTAGATTGTCTGATCACATAGTAACTATACATTGGATGTTCTGAGGAACTGCAAACGCTTTGTCCCAAAGCAGCAGCATTCGTTTCCTATCCCAGAAAAGGGGATGAGGATTCTCATGTTCCAACCTCTTGAAAGAGCCCTGTGGTGTTTTTTTTTTTTTTTTTTTTTTTTTTTTTTTAGTTATCCCAGTAGATAAAAAGCAGAATTATGTAGTTTTAATCTGCATTCCCCAATGGCTAATAATGTTGAGCATGTCTTACGGGCTTACTGGACATTTATGCATCTTCTCTGGAAAAAATAAACTTTGACCTTTTTTGGTGGGGTCCTGTTCTTGTCAACAAGTTGAATTTCTTACCTACACTTGATTCAATGTCCTCCTGAGACCTATGGCCACCATATATTAATATATTAGTATATACTCTTACCTTGTGAATCGTCTTCTTACTTATGACAATTTCATCCCGTGCACCAAAGTTTTTAATTTTGGTGAAATCCAAGTTGTTCATTATTCTCTCCTTTTGTTTTTCATGGTTATGGTATTTAAGAAAGTGCGGACTAGTTTAAAGACACCAGAGCTTATGCTTTCTTCTAAGAGTTCTACAGTTCTGCTCTTTGGCCCACTGAGTTATTTATTTATTTATTTATTTTTGCATACTGTCTGAGGTAGGGACCTAAATTTCATTCTTTTGCATGTACATATCCAGTGGTTCCCTATCCATTTGTTGAAAACACTATTTTTCCCCCCAAGTCGAATGAATTCTAGCACACTTGCTGAGTAGGATATACCTTACAAGTATAACTAGCTGTCTAACTATAAAACACATTTTACAATTCATGACACCTCACATTTGATAAAAATAGAACACTTGCCTCCTATATAAAAGGCTATGTTTGTATTCTGTTTTGAAATGAGAAATCTATTTCCCATAACAATAGTAATAGTCCTTGAATATCAATGTGAATAGAAAATAAAGCCTACTACAAATGTAAATATATTCTTATGATAGACATAGACATATCAGCTTAAGGCTTGAAGGCTTACACACGATCCTTTTGCTGTTAAAAAGGAATTAAGGCTACCACAAAAGTAGTAATGCAATTATAATTATCATGAAGAAAATCCATTAATTCTACAAGCCAGGTTAAATTTTCCTACAAGTTACATTTATTTGACAGTGATAAAATGTCACAAGAGATAGTAATATGAGCACCAATGGAATTTAATAAAAAATTGTGGGAATTTTTCAGAACACAGATTTAAGTATGCAGTGTGCAGAGTATAAAACAACAATCAACCCGTTTGTTTGGGATTCGTGTGGGAGTTCAGGAAATGTACACATCAAGTCTACTTTTCTATCCACGTCCTCTTGATGAAGCGGGTCTAACAACAGAGCTGAAGACGACTTACAAACAAGGTAAGATTTGTTTAATAGCTTTTGAAGGTTTTTTTCCTGTAAAATGGCTTGTATTTCCACAAGTACAACAGTGAAGAAATAAATTTTTCAATTTGACATGAAATAGAAAAGAACAAATTTTACAAATATAGCCATAAAATTTAACTGCTTATAACACTATATATGGTAAATATGACCAGCCCCCTATTTCTAGATTTCTTAATACAGAGAAGCAATCTGTGATCTCAGCTTAAAAGATAGAACATCCCTTTCAGCACATTGATTTTTGTTTAGAAAGTTAAGCTGAATGGAAAATATACTGTTTTTCCCTATTGTTCACTATGGAATCATGAGGGCAGACACTTGTGAGGACATATTACTAAAAAGACAAGACAGAACTGTTTAACCTCTTCAGTAATGCTTCGCTTCTTCTAAAAATATTCTCAAGTTATCTCACTGGCCTTGGGTCCTAATGTCATGACTGGAGCTGTGTCTTGTGCTCCTCACCACAGCAGGAGCTTCAGACCCTTAGTACATAAAGGCAGAACTATGGGGTCATGAGACTGACAGCCAAGGGAACAGAACCCCATCTGGCTTGAAATCAAGGCCCTGGGGCCTGTCCGTCTGCATTTCCACTGTGAGAGGCAAGACTGCATGAAAACAACACTGAGAGAGTTGATAACCCACCTCTCATCTACATCCAAAGAAAAGAACAGCTCCCGAGAAGAAGGAAAGTTGAGTGAAATCACGGAACAACCTTTAATACACTTATGTAGAAAATGTGTCCCCTAGACTCTTAAAAGTGTTCAAATAGCAATACTGAGCTCCTAATAACAGATTGGTAAGTAAAAATAAGAGGCATCGATGTTTTATGAAGAGTTCTCAACTCTCCTAATACAGTATATGTAATAACTTAAAACGATTTCCCTACTAGTCCTGGGAAACAGATTACTACAATCACTTTATGCCGGTCCCGGCATAGTTCTGCACTAGATTAATTAGTCTCCTTAACGGAGCCCATCACATTTTCCCATGGCTTTCTCCTTTCTCTATACCCTAACCCTGAAAGTCTATTACCAGTCACATCACATGGCTTCCCTGAGGCACAAAGGTACCAAACCCTATAATTAACTATTGAGGAATGATATAAATATGCTCTCTATTTATATTAAAAGATTTTAATTCTTTTGGGCCACAGACGTGTTGGGGGGAGGACCCAGAAAGTGTAATACTTACTCCGCAGTGTGAACTGTAGCCCTTTTTTTTTTTTTTGCAAAAAGCTGAACGAAATCAGAGAAATGTGGAGAGCTGCAGTGTGTATGACCCAGCAGCACTGATCAATAATAATAAAACCCTAGAAAAAATACTCAGAGCTGTATCCTCTTCACTCTGAATCTTCTTCTTTTCTTCCTTTTTTAATTTTTTTTGTAACAAAATGACACAAAGAACTGAAAAAACCTATTATCTATGGAAGCATGTAACTAGGTTTACTTCTAAAAACCTATTTGAAAAAGGCAACTAACTGGTCAGGCTGAGACGGGGCAAGTGGTTGGTGATTTCCTTATGTACATGTGTGTGTAGGGGGTGGGGGTGGTGTGTGTGTGTGTGTGTGTGTGTGTGTGTGTGTGTATCCATCCTTTAAATGTGATGGCAGTGAAGCATGAAAACAGAGGTGACCCCGGGGGAGTTTCCTTTTCTCAATTCTGTCATTCTACATGGATGAACTAGTTCTCTATTCTTAAACATTCAATTGCTCTCAGACTTGAAAACTCTTCCCTCAGTAGAAGGTGACCTTCTCAGAGTCAGCAGGCTTCCCTTGCAGGTGTGACACCCTTGCTATTCCCCACCTGGAAACCAAAGGAAACGACACACGCGGGTGGCCTACCGCCACTGAGGAGCTGGCGCTTCCTGACCGGGTTTCAGTTTGCACTTGAGCTGTCTGAGTCTGCGATGCCATGGATTCTGAAGGTCGGGTGCCCCCCTGGTTTGTGGGCCTGTGTCATGCGCAGAACTAGCAGCCTTACACATCCTTGACACAGAGAAGTCTGATATCTGAGTGGAATGTCCTTGAAAAATAAAAGCTTATTTATTTATTTATTTTGATAGGTGAAATTCAACCTTTCTGGGTGTAACACCCTTTATCTTAGAAGATAATCCTAGGGTATCAAGAATCCTTAAGCTATCTCCATAAAACAAGAGGCGGGAAGGCATGCGCCCTTTATCCTTCTCTGAAAACCAGATGGCATCCAATAGGTTTTTCCAGAAAGTTCTTTTTCTTCATTTCTGTTTTGTTTGTAGGTAATCTATGTAGAAGAGAGGAAACTAACTAAAAGAAGTCTGTGGTTGGATTTCCACATCATAAATATAATTAAAACAAGACAAAAAAATCCCTCTTCCTACACAATGGTCTCCATGGGAAATAAAGCTATTTAAAAACTGACAAGCAAATCCAGCATACTTGGTCAAATTATGCAGCAGCATTAAAGAGTAATTAATATACCTTTTTGTTTTTAAGAAAAAGTACTCAAATAGGTTTAATTTGCTGAAATAGGCAAAATATCTGCAAGCAGGCGAAATATCTGCAAATTGGAAAGACCAGTTCAAGTATGGACATAGTATATCATCAGACTTACATAAATTATACATATTTACGAAAGCTAAAACAGGCAGCTCACAGCTGTGGATGGTCCATTTAAGCAGAGGTTAGTATAACTGAAGACTTGCTCACTGGGAATGGGTGGAACAGAGCTAAGCCCAAGAGTGTCTACATTCTGGGAGCCACAATAGCCCTGGCAGCAAACACAGAAAATGAGTACTGAGGAATCATTAATTAACACAACATGAAACCAGCAGAGAGGGTTAGCACGACTCATATGAAATTCCGATTGAATTCTTTCTCAGTGAACACTCACTAGCTCTTTCTCAAAATCAGGAATTTCAAATGATTTCTGCAGATGCCCCACTCAGCGCTCTGTGTGTCTAATGATCACATTTAAATTTAATTTGATTCGCAAACATTTGAAAACTCGCGGGGCTCCTTAACCTGAAAGGGAAGGTGACAGATGGTGGGAGGCAGCAGACCCAAGCGACCATCTCACTGTCATTGGCTGCTGCTGGGCTCACAAAATTTAGCTTTCTAAAAAAGGACGAGGAAGAGGCGGTTGGGGGGAGGGGGGGAGCCACACTACGAAGTGCCAACAAGTGGCTTTAAAAAGTAAAAGCGTACTTTAAATCTCCCTTGGGTCCAGGATGCAGATAAAGCTGGTATCAGAGTCCCCAGGACAAGCTCACAGCTGCCCATGGCTGCAGCAGCCTCACCGAGCCCATGGCTGCTGCTGCCGCCACTGCCGCCCTCAGTTCATGAATTTTGAAAAGCTGCTGGATTTTAATTAATTAATCAATCCATTTTTGACATGTAAGATGAGGATGAGAGACAGCCCATATTAAACAAAAATAACAGGGCAGACTAAAACTTTATGGGAAAGTCTTTGACGTGCCAAGTATCTGATAAATGTGTAAATAAATTCCGCTCAAGTTAAATAAAATGGTATATGGATATTCTTTTCCTCTCAAAGTCAGAAAAAGAAATGAGAAAAAAAGCTGTAGTTTTTAAAACAAGTGCCTGGCCTATGCCTCCTGTCTACTGAGTGCTTCCGGAAGGGCCGGCAGAGCTGACCCTTTGGTAATGGGTCAGATTCTGGCCACTGTCCATACTCCCAGCCACTACACATCTTGTGTGTGCCACCTGTGCTTAAGAGACACCGCAGGCTGTATTCTAAGAGACATCTGTTGGATAAATTTCTTCTCCACTTGTTAAAAAAAAAAAAGGATGTAAAATCTTGTCCAAGTTTACAAAGGAAAAAAAAAAAAAAAACTCGGTTAAAAACCCAAAGTTAAAAATAAAAGCATGGTAGTTGAAATCCAATTATTACACAGGTATTAAGGTTTAATCAGGCAGACCTCAGTGACGACGCTGCTGCTGTAAGCATGCAAAACACAGTGGTATCTGTCAACTCCTGCTGGGTTTCATAACCAGACCCCTCCCCCCTCCTTTTCCCCCACCCCAGTTGGCCTTCCCCTTAACAAACATCATTACAAAAAGGTAGAATCTAGAGTTAGTGGCAAAATCTTCACAGTAACTTGTTAATAACGCGTAGATGGCTGTCCAGGATGTCAGTCCACTGGACCTTGGAAAATCAATTTGATGCAGTTCTGTTCCCCGACCAGCTGTGTGGCGCAGAACGGACAGGCGGCATGAAATGCGTGAGTCCCGTGAGGCAGTGGGATCTGAGACCAGTACTTCGCAGACTTCTCTGAACACACGTGTCCACAGGGGGTGAAGGCATGAGTTGGGGGCCCGGCATCAACGTAAAATCCTGCCTCACAGCCCAGCCAGAGAGGGACGTAGGGGCCCACAGTCCTGCACATGGGACACTCCCTCTCGTTGGCCTCCGTGTCACTCCGATGGCCCCAGTTGTGGTAACCGTGCACGTGGCCACAGCTCAAGTATGCCCAGGGCTGCTTCTCCTCCACCACCTCCTTCCGGCTGATGCTGGGGAAGGCCAGGGTGTTGAGACCCACAGGACACTGGGGTCGGGCTGCATTGATCTCCTGCCGGAGGGCTTCAATGTGTTTCTGAGTGGGAGTGTGAAAAAGGCCATCTGCGGTTCTCCAGAGAAGAGTGGCCCCGCAGAGGTCGATGAGGGAGCCGTCTTGCAGGACGTTAGTCTCACTCTCCACCTGCAACGGGTCCAACAGACACGCCATTAAAAGCAGGATCCTGTGAACTATGGCGGCAAAGGCACCCCAACATCCTTTCCCTAAGAAAAACAGAAGACACAGGAAGGGGACATGTCTGACTAAACAGGACTTGGGAATTGTCATCCACCCCCCCTCCCCAGCCTCAATACACATAACTGTCCAGGGTACAGCACTCACAGCAATGTTGACCTTTCAAGTTTGACTAATGCAGTGGTTACTCGAGGATCTCACAAACATTACATTTATTTGTCACTTCTGTTGGTAATATATCCATACACCTCAGGGCTGAGAGGTGCGCTGCCAGGGAAGACCCGTGCTCCTCTAGCAGAGCCAACACCTCACCACAGCACCCAACACTCCAGGCAACCCTGAGCTGCGCGCACCTCCATCTCTCTTGGTTTGCTCAGGACCGCTGTGCTATGCACCACGTGCGCGCACAGGGGATTATCAGCTGACTAGCAGCAGGGTGAGGCCCGACAGCGGGACTCAGCACACCTCTACTGGTGCCAGAGGCACACGAAGGCCTGAAGGGAGCAAGACCAACCCAACAGAGAGCCACTCTTCGGGAGGGGGAGGCAGGCATGCCTGGAGCCAGGAGCCGTCAACCAGGAACGGCGGCGAGGCCGGCCACTGGCCCTCCGTGGCTGAGGGCAGACTCTGGCGTTTTTGGTCTGTCAGGGACCTGGCTCTGTCACCCATAGCTGTGTGACCTTGGGGTGGCTACTGCGGCATACTGCCCCATGCTCCCCCTTTCTTTAGAATGCAGATGGTGGCTGTGAGGATGAAATGAAAACAAATGGAATTCTTAGAAGGTCTGGCCTGCAGTAAACACTGGTGCTGTTACTTTGAAGAAGACGGGTCAGAAATGAGTTTTGGAAAAATTTTTCTTGAATGGAGATGGAAACGATGTCAGGAGCCAGGAGGAAGGTAATGAGACCAGCACACCAGAGAGCTGTGATCACCCTGTGCATGGAGTGGACGAGATGCTCTCAGGGCCCTTGGGAACTGAACGGGCTGGGGAACTCTGGGTAAGGACACAGTGGGAAGCAACAGGCCCAGGCTGGACGGCTGGGCAGGGAGGCCTTGGTGCTCAGAGAATCAGTGTGTCTTTGGTTAGCTCACATCTAGCTCTAGAGCAGATGGACTGGAGGGGTGCAGGGTGGCTGGCACAGGTTCTTTTTCTAGGCAAAGTGTGAGTGGACCACACCAAAGGGTATCTGTGGCAACAGACAACATATTAGACCCAACAGCCCTGAGAGCTTGATGTGAGGAAGAAAGAGGTCCGTATTACATAGAGTTCTAAGACACGTTACTGATAGGCACTAATTTCCAAATTAGTCTGTCTGGGCTGGGGAGACGGCTCAGTTGGTAAGGCACTTGCTTTGCAATCAGGAGAACCCATGTAAGAAAGTCAGGGGTGGTGGTGTGCACTTGTAATCTCAGAGACAGAGGATCCTGGGAATCACTGGGTAGTTCACTCAGCTTACTGGGTAAAGCCCTGTCTAAAAAGGGCAGGCAGGGCCTGAGGAACAATCCCAGAGGTTGTCCTGTTGTCTCCATGTGCACACATAAACACACACACACACACACACACACACACACACACACACACACACACGTACACCCACACACCACCACCACCAATACAAGCCACTTTTGGAGGTGTTTCTTTTTAGCAACCTTAGCAAAAGTCTACGGCACACACTGCTGCCTAAGCTGTATTGCCGTAACCAGAGAGGGTAAGTACCCACCTGGTGACATGCTCACTGGACAATTTTGCCATGGCCTTTACTTAATTCCTTTGTTGTTGTTGTTGCTGTGAGGGATTTCTGAGCTGTCTTCCCACCCTTTGGTTTTGAGACAGGGTCTCACTATGTAGCCCAGTCAGACCCACAACTTACAATTTGCCCGCCTCCACCTTCTGAGCATTAGAGGCAGGGGCTCCCGTGCCCAGCTCAGTGAACGGCTTCTATTCACACAGGTAGACAAACGTCAAGTGTGAACCAGCTCAGGCGAACGCCAAGCACAGACCTCTGTGATACAGCAGTGTGTGACAATCGTGACTGGAGTTGGACTCTAACTGTGACTCAGAGCAGTATGTAACTCGTCTGTGCTACCCCTCTTCACAGGTGAGGAGGGGTGACTCAGCCTCCTTTCGAGGCCTGTGGTGCAGGCTGGATGAGCTGAGTCCTGGTGAGGAACGCTAATGCAGCGTCTGCATCCACTGTGCCGTCTCCTGCTGCTGTAGTGATTAATCACGAGACAGTTCATCCGGGCCAGTCTTGTGGAAAACTATTGAATCATCAGAAACAGTTTTGTAAAGAAACTGTTCTCACTGTCCCTCTCCTATTTATAATTTCTTGCAAAGTATTGAAATGAAACAGACTTGGCCTGACCTTTCTCAGAAAACGCTTTTCCTGTGTATTCGTTAGAGCCACTGAGACAAGGTGGCCTTACTGTAAGATGAAGGGGCCTTCCCTGTCCCTAGAGTGTGAAACAGAGGGGATGACAAGGACTCCTAGAAGCAAACCTCAGGGGTAGGACAGCCAACCGTTCACCAGGTCCCGCATCCCTTCTCCATCCTGGAAACATCTGGTTCCCTGCCGCCCACAGACACGCACCCTCCAGCCCGTGTGTTCTGTCCATGGCCGCCTGGGGAGATGCCCTCTTCTCTATAATCTTAGAAAGGGGCCCCTGTTCCCTCTTTCTAGCTTCTATGCAACAAAGCAGGAGTGAAGGGTGAGCACTTTTAGGGGTCTGTCCCACAGGCTACTTATTGCATGGCCAGAAACCTCAGGCTCCCACCTGTGCCCGAAAGGAGGGCAGAGCTCCTGTTTTGAGGCTCGGCTGTGGCATTTATGAGAATGCCAGCATGCTGATGTGGTACAGGAGATGCTCCAAGTAAAAATCCTATCTTTATCCCTGGTGAACAATACCTAGAACCCTATTAATTTCTAACAATGAAACTAAGGGAGCGGGGGAGATGCCGACTTCATTGAACTTCATTGTTTCTTAGTTTTAGAAAATCTAGACTTTTATTTTGACAATTTCACTCACTGTCTCCACGGCTCAGGATTTTTCTGAATTAGTATAAAGTATCAAGGGAAAAGATGAATTCTGCAGTGATAAATATAATAAATGATCTCGTTCTTAAGACAGGATGACTTCCACCCAGGAACGGCCTGCTACAAGGAAGGGAGAGTCCCCGCCCCCACCTGCCCCCCCCAAATTAGAGCTAATGGCATTCTGTTTCTGGGTCAGAGAATGGCACACCTCACCCCCGCACAAAGGTTCAGAGTTTCATCGGTGGGAGAGTGATGTCACCATGAAGTGTCTGCACTCCGTACATTTCCCAGAGAGAAGTCCACTCACCAGCTTTCCCCTCTGCTGGGCCGACCTGGTCTCTCGTAAGGTGTACACGTCTCCACAGACAGAGATCTCTCGCCAGACTCCAGGCTGGGACTCCTCGGTGAAGCCCCCTCGCGGGTGCATCACGAGAACTCCATTGGTGGTGAGCCCATCCATGTGGCCGTCAGGGTTTTTCCATTTTGCTGCCTTTTCCTGGAGAACAATACCACAGACCAGAAAAGGCATGCTAAAGTGATACTAAAAGTGATACTCCTGTGTCAAGCCTGTTCTTACCCAGGTACCTAAAGGTTTTTCACATACACTCATTACCTGGATACTGAAGGAAAAATAGTATCTAAAAAGTACTTTTTATTAGAGGTACAAACTTAAAAAGATCAAGCCAATAATTTGGGGACCAGTGTGTTTCCATGGAAACTGCGTGTCTCTCCTCCAGGTGATGGCAGCAGTGATAGGACAGACATTCTTGCTTGCTACACTGCTCTGATGTCCCTCTCCTTTCCAGGCAGAGCTCACGTTTTGTCCCCATGGCAGGGCAGGAAGGATCAAAGTCCTGCTTAGTATAAACCGGCAGGAACAGCCCCAGGCTTCCCAATGCCTGGTGAAGGGTGCGGGAGGGGGGAGGAGGGGGGGAGAATGTGCCTGCAGGGAGGAGGCTCTGCCCTGAGAAGTTAACAGAGGCACAGAGGCTCGCCACCCCCCTCCTCTTTCTCCGGGAGCTGCCCCATGCAGCGGATGTTGAGAATCTCAGCAGATGCACCTCAAGAGCAGACCCCCACTCTCCCCGACCCCCGGGTGGCTGGTGTACCAGGAGAGGCAGTGGGCAAGGCAGAGAGAACCTGGTCCGAGATGTCACAGGGTCACTGCATCACCCAGTGCTGGACTGGCCTTCCTCGGTACTTCCCGGCATGTGGGATAATATATTTTTATTATCCTTTAGGTCACAATGGACAATTTTCTCTCTCCAGCCAAAATTCTGAATCAAAAGGTATTTGTGTTGAGACATGATAGTCATTAAAACTTTTGGGGTTTATCAAGATACCCTATGAGGGCAGGGCTTCTTGTTTTCTGTTACCACACACCACATCCAGTATGAAATACAGCAAACGTTCACCTTTCAATGAACAGCTCACTAACAATTTCCTCCGAGCACGAAATGTCTAAAATTGGCCACTTACTTTTACCTTTGAAATAAACCTCTCAAATTCACCATAAATGTATTATAATGTTAACATGTACTTCTTTAAAAATAATTATTGCATATATTATAATTGATGCAGCAAATACAACAACAGAGCAATCTGAAGATTGTTTTCTCTTTATTGAGACAGGGTCTCTCTATGTAGTACAGGCTGACTTTGAACTCAGGACCCTCAGCTTCTCCATGCTGGCTACATATGACTAGGCTTCAAATTATCTTCAGGTTTTTATCACCATCTTCTCAGGCTTTCCTTCTGAAAACTAAAACTTCAAAAATCTAACTACAGCCTCCACACAAAACAATTTCCTCCCAAATTAAGTAACTCTCACAGTAGTGGGTGGGATTTTGAAACCAGAATATACCCATAGTACTTACTCCAAGAAATATGTTTTTGGAGGAGTCGAATCCAGCTGCGAATATGCGTGCTGTGTATGGCTCGCTCCGGTCACACACGATCCTGCAGGCAAACCTAGAGATGGTGCTCTGTGTGATCTGCGCATCATCAGTCTGTCCACCAGAAACTGTGTCTGTAACCACGAAGTCGATAGGGCTCTCTGTTGATCTGCCCACCTGAACAAACCAAACACTCTCATGATTCACAACGCTACAGGAACAGGAGCCCAGAACCCTGTCAACTTCATTACCTTTGCTTAATCAATTATGTGCCCTTCCTTCCTTCCTTCCTAAGAGAGAAATTACAGTACACAACCACCAGCTCTTTTTAAAAAACCTGTTTCATTTTATCATGGTACTAACACTTAATGAGATCTTACTCCTCCCCGTCGTGTGTGTGTGTGTGTGTGTGTGTGTGTGTGTGTGTGTGTGTGTGTGTGTGTGTGTGTGTCTCCTTGTCCACATGCATGCAGAGGCCAGAAGGAAAGATGCTGCCCACCTCCTCTGAGACAGCCTCTCGTTGGCCTGGAGTTCACCCGGCTGCAGGGTGGCTCCTGCTTCCACCTCCAGCACTGAGATTACAAGCACACACCACTGCTAAGGGTTTGTTTGTTTATTTATTTATTTATTTATTTATTTATTTATTTATTTATTTATTTATTTATTTATTTATTTATTGTGGGTTCTAGGACTTGAACTTGGGGCTTGGAGAGGCAAGAGGTTTACCAATTGAGCTATCTCCTCAGCCTGAGATGGGCACATATAAATGCACATGACTACAGGCATAATGCTATATAAGAGACTCCTAGATCTTCTTCATTTTAACTGTAACTTTACGACTGTTAGTCCACCATTTTAATATTCCGAGAAAAATCAATTCTGGGAGAATGATATTAGAGTCTCTCTCAGTCCCAGCTGGAGATACTGCTTTTACAGCAAATCATTCTTTGTTGTCTATTTCCGGAGGAAGCAAACCTTTGAAGAAATAATGGAACTCTTGGCTTGCTGGACTCCCTAAGTCAGTCAGCCCATGACTCACAGCACCGAGCAAACAAAGCCCTTACATGGGACGGAGGGGAAGCACCAGCCACCACTGCTCAGTGAACCGGACAAGAACATGGGGCGTCCAAGTCAGTCCAAAGCTCAAAATGTGAGTGGAGGAATTTTTAAAAAGCTGGTCTTAGCACCTCATGTCTGGATTATAAAGAAACCTTTCTGCGGAAGTCTAAAAGCTGCTACCAATATTATAGTGGCTTCCTTTCCTAGTGAGATTTCAAAGCTGCCAGGAGATTGTATTTCACTACAATGTTAGTGTTTTAACAGCCTTTCTTTTTCAGTGGATTCCACTAAAACAGACCCTACTTGCCCCTGCGAACTGGAAGACACATTTGCTTAACAGGATATTAAATATTTATATACTGATGCTCCCTATGTGTTTGCCTAGAAGGCAGAGACAAACATGGTCTTCAATCAAAAGCATTTACACAAAGATGAAGAATTCCTCACTAAATATGCCACGAATGCCCTCGCCTGCAAACAGAGACTGACTCAGAAGCTGCCAGCGGGAGGAACACATGGGCCCTGACATGTATGCACATAAGGCCATGAAAATCAATTTCCAAGGTGTTTTTATTCTGATCATGAATTATGTCTGAAAAGATAAGCAATGTGAAATACATGATCTTTTAAAAAATTCAAACGAGCAAAGTAAAAAGAAGAGATCTTACATCATCTAGCTCTGCATGCTTCCTGGAAGTGTCATTAATTTCCTTTGCAAATTTCTCCTGTCTGTTCCCATGTATACACTACCCCATAAAGCCAACAGCCAACAGCCGTCTACCTTCTCTTGTTTCTTAATGGCCCTTAATTCCTTGTTCTAATGAAATGTGCCTGGAATAAACGAAGTTACTGGTTTCACTGAAACTTATCAACTTGAGCAGATGTGTATTGCTTAGCTGTATGCATTTCAGGCTTAGAAAACATACAACTTACTTAAAAATGTGGCATAAAAATCTAAATTAGAGACAATAAAACCATACCACACACTTCATTTTTCTAAAGTTGCACAACTTTCCCTCTGTTGGATTCCTTTTAAAGATGGACGTGTAACTTAGTTCTATAGACTGACAAAGCCAGGAGTCTTTTTAAAACTTGAAATTACTTATTAATAAGTTTAAAAAGAAGTTTTATATATGCACAGCTTAAAATAAAAATCTACAAAAGCATAGAATGAAAGCACATCTCCTTTCCTTTAAAAATATATATATTACGTGTTATCTGAGACTTTTACACATGTATATGTGTCTGGATCATATCCACTCCCTACTCCTCACTCCACCTCCTCCAAGACTCCTCTCCAAATCCCCTTCCCAACCTCTTGTTATTTTTTTACTTTAAACCTCAGTCCAATTAGTGCTACCCACATGTGCATTAGTGTGGGGCATAGTCCCCTGCCTACCAACGTCCACAACCTAACAGAAAATGGACTCCCCTTCCCCAGCAGCGATCAGCTGTCAACTGCTCCTCAGTTAGGGAGGGGCCCTGTCAGCCCTGCCCTGCCCGAGCTGGAATGACTAGCTTGATCTTGTGTAGATCTTGTGGAGGCAAGCTCTAAGTTTCTTTCTTTTCTAAAGTTTTCATTTTTTTTAAAGGAAAGTCACAAATGCTGATATATTTAATAAATAAAAAAACATAAAAAGGAGCAAGTAAGGCTTCTTCAAAATCAGCATCATACCTCACCCTGAATTTTTATTCCAAAAGAAGTTTAGGAGCAAAATACATGTGAGAAGTCTGTATTTCCCTGTTCATGTCACAAAACCTGAATGAACCTTGTGTCCCATGTCTATGAATCTTAGAGAAGAAAGGCAGGACATCACGCACTGTTGTAAGCTAAAAGTGAGCACTCTTCTAAGATGCCACCCACCACTCTTAGAGGGCTAGGCAAGTGATCTGCCATTGAGGCCACTTCCCAGCCCCACCCCTCATGGCCACAGCAACGACTTCCCGCTAGGACTGCCACATTGTGACTTTACTCTAACTCACTAAATTCACATCTCATGATTTAACTGAAACTGACTTTAAGACCTGGAGCATCCTGTTAGGATCAATTATTCTAAGCCGTGCTCTTCTCTGGCTGGCCATATATGATTTACCACTCTACATTTACATCTAACCTCTGGAGTGTTAGGAAGTTTTTCTCCTTTAAGACACAAGCCTCATATGGCTTTTGCCAGCAAAGGCATTTTAGTCACTTTCGTATGGAAAACCCAGTTGGTGTGGGAAACCTGCAGCCTGTCCTTTCTTCTGTTGGACCAGCTCCACATTCTCTTACAGGCACTCGTGTAGACAAGCTGAGATGCCTCTCTATTTCATTTGACAGTTAAGTGGTACACAAGCCAAGATGCTTCTAAATTCATCTGCTATTCATAGAATGTTGGCATTCAGAGAATAGCTGTAGTGAGAACTTCACTCACCCTACTTGAAATTTTATCTATAATGAACGTTCATTTGTTGAATGCTAGTGGAGCCCAAGAAGATGGTGCTCAAGGGGGACAAAGGCCTCTCAGGTCTCCTTCCCCTCCCTCTACACATTTATTATCTGCCTTTTTTCTATGACACAGTAGAACCATGGCTGTTTCTACCCAGGAGGCCTCTGGAGATGCCTTGTACCCCAACGGTGTCCCCCCAGATTTGCTCTTGACTGTCCCGAGTCTTCCCTTGCTCTTCATTCTGGATCTCACACATTCTGGAGCGTCTTGACACTGGGGTTGAAGGCACACATTTGTTCTGGTTTCTCTTAAAGATTCTAGCCTGTCACTGATAACCTTTCAAAAATACAGTAAAAAGGAGTACTAGAAAAATGACCCATGGCTTAGATCTTCTCAGCCACGGTGAACTGCTGTAAAAGCTCCAGCAGCTGTTCTTGGGACCTTCCTCGGCCGCAGACATTCCACTGCAAGCACAGAGGGCGCAGACTGGATGCCAGCCTCAGGAAAGCTCGTCTGCCCGCCTGCCTGCCTGCAGCCACTGGCTCTTGCCCACCAGTCATACGGTGGGAAACCACATCCATTTCCCCACCCATCCGATCAACTTCCCTTCTCAGCCTAGGCCGGCTGGCTTCCTGGCCCTCCCCTCTCCTGGGGTCAGCACACTGTTAACCCCAGGCTGCAAGCCTGAACACATCTACCTCTGGTACTCATCCTGCAAATACTTCCAGCCCTCCCCCACACCTTCTCTCAGATGATCCCATCACATCTCTTTCACTAGCCAGAAGCTCCACTCTTCTCCAAGCTACAAGCTAGCACATCAACCCACCTACGCCTAGTGAGCATCTCTGGTGTGACATGATGTCCACAAACCTTAGACCCTCCAGCCCCTCTCTGGGCAGCAATGGCTGCCATACAATTTGTTCCACCTATCAATCCAACCCGAGTGAGAACTGTCCTTAAGTAGTCTTCCCTTCGCCCCATGAGAGCATGGTCCCCGCGCACAATCTTGTCATTGTAGCTCCCGGCATCTTTCTCTTCCTGGCTCCAGTCATCATCACCATCGTACACAGGGACTCCATTTATCCAGCTCCTTCTTCGCAATAACAGTATCTGACTCTACTCATCTGCTTATCTCCCCTCACTTCCTGCTTGCCTCTGTTCCAGTCTTGGGGCTCTGGTAACTTGCTGTCGACCTGGAATGCCTGCTGATGGGTGGTCTATCTGCCTCCTTGGTCTTGAACTATTATGAGCAGCGTTAGGGATAGAAGGGGACTGAGTATACCAGGTAAGCTGAGCTACAGCCCTAGCTCTCTACGCCTGCAACTAGGTGAGTTAGTATACTGGCATGGTAGACGCATTATATATATATGATATAAAGATAATAAAGGCAGGATTCTAATGGTGACCAACTCTGAGTATACACACATGACTTAAAGTGCAGGTATCATTAAGGTTTTTCTTTAAATCGATGCTAATTAAGTGCTATGTCTAAATTATAGTCATGGTCAGCGCGCCCTTGGTACGTTGTCCCATCTGAGGGACACTGCAAAGCATCTGTCTCTTCCTTTGATTCCCTCACATTTTATGCCTTACTCTCTTGCTGAGAGCTTCTTCATTTCCTTCATTTATTACTACGATCTGGTGTGTTTGCATGAATTCAGACTCTGCCATCCTGAAGTCCTCCCTTAAATGCAGACCTAGCCCTGACTGTTCCCTCGGACACTCCACCATTACACCTGCAGCATTGACATTAGGCTGATGAGAAGCTGCAGCGCCAGCCTTCTACGCCGAGGCTCATCCTTCGGACGGACTGTGCCAGTGGCAGACTTTGAACATACAAGCTTGCTAAAAGGAGAAAAAGCTGGGCAGGGTGGCGCACGCCTTTGATCCCAGCATCCAGAAGGCAGATGCAGGTGGATCTCTGTGAGATCACGTCCTGCCTGGTCTACAGGGTGAGACCCTGTTCAAAAAACAGAACAAAACAGACCTCAGCTAGTTCCTAACATGATGCTTTGTTTACTACAGTAGACAGTAAGTGATAGATATTGCAGGGCTGGAGAAATGGTTCAGAAGTTGAGAGCACTTGCTGTTCTTCTGGAGGACTTAGATTTGGTTCCCAGCACCCATACAAGGCAGCTCACAGCCTTCTGTAACTACAGTTCCAGGACATCTGCAGCCTCTCCTGGCCTCTGCACACAGACAGCACAGACTCTCCACACACAGAGACACATTTAAAAAATCAGATTACTTCAGGAAAAACCATCAGTGTCATGTTTTCTTAAGAAACTTATAAAATCTTTTTGTCTTATCTCTGGTACTGTGTTGAAAGCAAAGACCTAAATCTTATTTCTGTCACTATCATCTCTGACTTTAAGTGGCTTTCCCCTTTAAAAATCTAGAGTTTTCAGGTCCACAACGTTAAAGGCTGTCAAACAAAAAACAAAAACAAAACAACAACAACAAGCAACCCCCCCAAAAAAAACAATAAAAAACTCCTTTTCCCTTTTTATGTCTATGTATGTAAAGGGTATGTATGACACTCCTTGTTACTGCTCAGAACACTCCCAGCTCACTCGGAGTAAAAAGGCTTCTCAATGGAAAACGCATACTTTTTTTTTTTTTTAAGCATTAAACATCATCATAAAGTTGCATGACAATACTGACAGGAAGTGTGTGCCCATCCTTAACATAATGAAGGTGGCGTGTGGCCTGGCATGGAGAATGCAGCTGCTCTTAATACTGTGTGTAAATAACAAAACCTTGCTTCTGAGTCTGAACTGCATTGGAATACTAAGCCTGTTTTTATGTCATGTCTGTTGTTCATCTACAGTGCCCAGATCTCTAGAGCTCATGGCCCCCAAATCTGCATGCCACCTGCCTCGTCCTTCCCTCAAAAGCTAGCTGCCTAGCCAGTGTTTTAATTAACCATTTGAGACTTTTCGAGTTCCTAAGAATTGTTTAAGTCATTCAATGATACTTACCTAACAATTAATGTAATGTTTAATATTAGTATTTGGCATTACTGCCTTATTTAACACCGTGATTTGATTATTTGACACTTCACAGTAGGTAATCTTAACTGACTCCAATGCTAACTGTAGGTCTCACTAGATAGAGTGGGATAATATTTGCTCCATCGGCCTGCTTTGAGCTCTTTCTGAGTCTACATTCAGTCTTTCCTCGTTCAGCTCTACAGTCTTGCAGGACACAAGTGGACCATTGCACCCAAACTTGGGGCATGGGCCCCCACTGAAGTTATTTCTTAAGCAATGTTTTGAGGAAAAACTTTGTACAAGGTCTTCTTGCACATATATAAGGACAAACCTGTGTGAAGAGAAAAGCTTTCACTCAGAAAGATCAGAGTCTAATCAAAGTGTGTGAACATCTTAGCTTTCTCACAGCCATTTCCAAATCTCTGCCCCACAGAGGCTACATCAATTTATAATGTGTAGGGGACTTGCCTATCTCTCCCATGTTTTTGACAAAAGTCTTTGAGATTTTTCTAATCTAGCAAGAGAAAAGTAGTATTCCTCCACAAATTAAAATCCCATTTTCTTTCTTTCCTTTTTTTTTGTAGGTGAGGTACAGTTTATTTCTTATTTTAAAGAGCTATTTATTGTCCTTTTAAATGAATATCTGTTAAATTCTTTGTGGTATGTCAATTCGACTGCATGTATTTTTCTTAGTCATTTCCAGGAGTGTCTTATATTTAGGAGCCTTAACTGTTTGTAACATGAATTGTAAATATTTCTCCCATTTGTCACTTTCCTTTTGTTTTTATTTTATTATATTTTGGCGGCAAAAACTTAACTGAAATACAAGATTTATATTTTATGTTTTGTGGGGATGTGTCAGGATTAGGATTTTTTCTTTTTCTATTTTTTTAAATGTATTTATTTTATTTATTATGTATATGAGTGCTCTATCTGCATGTATGCCTGCAGGCCAGAAGAGGACATCAGATCCCACTATAGATGGTTGTGAGCCATCATGTGGTTGCTGGGAATTGAACTCAGGTCCTCTGGAAGAGCAGCCAGTGCTCTTAATTGCTGAGCCTTCTCTCCAGCCCCCATGGATTAGGATGTTTTGACTTCAGCAATTTATACAATGATTTCCTAATAAAAAATCCTTGAACATTTAATCATTTAGAATTTTATAGTGTTAGTTCTAAGTTTTCTTCCTCAGACTGCTCAATTTTTAATCTGATCGCTATAAAGATAATTAAATATTTCTCCAAAATGTTGAGGACAGTTTAGAGAAAGAAGACAGTTCTGACGTAGGCTGGCTCTTCTATTGGTCTGAGCTGTTGAAGCTCACATGTATGCACCATGGGTCTTTCTGGTCTATCTCTAGTTTTTTGGTACCACCTGTCTTGTGGTTAAGTCATGGTTCATATTCCTAAATTATGTATTCATAACCCAGTGGCTATATGGTTTACATACAGCCACTAGTTTATGCATAAGTCAATGCTCTACATCACTGGTGCTGCTGCAATGTTGCCCTGTGGAGAGCTGCTCACTCACGGTGCTGTTCAGAGGCCATTGCCACACAAGGTGCTCAGTGCTATGTTTCCAATTAACAACAGTAAGGAATACTCTGCCATAAGCTGCTCTGTAGTTAATAACCTTACAATACAGCTACTGGCTATTTATGGTTCTTTCTGACAGCTGCCCTGTTTTGCTCCTTTTGTGAAGTCTGGGGCAATGGTTAATGCAGGATGGGGATCGACCGCTGGCATCTGGATTTGCTGACATTCATAAGGAAGCCACGGTGTGAGAAACAAATCCTGCTGCTTCGTTTCTAACCAATCCTTCCCACTCTAAGACAAGGAAGCATCTCAGCTTGGCTGCAGGGCCTCAGTTTCCTCCTCCTGCACTCACTCTGTCCATGGTTTCCCTCCACACACACAAGTGCAGGCCTGGTTCACCTCCTGGGCCTTCTGTCTTTGTGGGTCCATGTTAAAACTTTCGATTATTTCTTAAGTACTGAATCTTGGATGTACTTTCTAATTCTTTTCTTTTCAGCTTCACTAATTGATGTTTTCTCTTCTGCTTCTGTTTGATTTCTAGACTCTGTAATATGTCATCAATTCTTCCTACACTCATGCTACACTTTCTTAAGGTCAAAAAAGCTTTTTTGAGATAAGCATTTAGTAATTTGACTACCATTCTTTATTGTCTTAAGATTTAATTATGAAAGCACCTAGGCTTTACATTTTCTAGAAGGGAGTAAGGTGTTGGCCATATTATGTGAATTTTTCTATACACTGTTCCCTATTTCTGGAAGCCTCTAATATTTTTATGTCTTCTTTGACTTGTGTTATTTAAAAACTTTTCTATTATTTTTTGTTTTAAAAGTGGTTGGCTTTCCCTTTGTCTATTGTTAATACCAATTTTTACTGCACGAAGATTGATACAGAAAAAGGAATTTGAAAGGAGAGTGGGGATGAGCATGTGGGAGGGTTTGGAGGGAGGAAAGTGAAGGGAGAAATGTTATAATTAAAATACAGTCTCAAAAACAAACAAACAATCAAAATTATCTGAGGATACAGCCATATAATTTACCTTTCCCCTTTAGAATGGGAGTGACTTTTATATTATTCCCACTTCTTTTCCCCTGGGCATGCCTGAATGGCAGATGTTCTGGCTGCATGTCAAAACATACCAGTAAAGGGAAATGGATTAGTTTCCATTAAAAGAAGAAGTGTTACCTGAAACATGTCCGTGTCTTTATCATGTGTATACTCCACCACCACAGTCTGGTTCCTTGACAAAGTGTAGGATATGCTGTGCTGACCTTTGCAGCTGATAGCCTAATTGTGAGAGGAGAAAAAACAAAAACAACTCATTTAAATGTCATCCTAGTGACTGGCCAGTCACCTTTCTACCCAGAAAATCCAGCATAAGCCAGCATCGTCTCAATGGTCATAGCTGTCCCCATGCTCTGCCCTAAAAACCAGAGGAGCTAAAAGGTATATAAAAGGTATAAATTGAGGAAGCTTTATCACATACTCTATACAGGTGTAAGAGAAACCAGTTCATCTATTTGCAACACTTGATTTAATTATATTATCAGAAAAATACATATATTCTCTTTCTCACCCAACTTAAGTGATAGAACTTTTAGACTAGCTATAGTGATTTCTTTAAAATTTTTAAATTTCCTTCACACAGTGGGCACATTAATAGCATTTTGTCATATTGCTTCCTCTATTACGGAGACTATAAGCATACTAAAAAAGTCATTGAAAACACTATTAATATCCTGCAAGGATGTCTATGTGACAATATACTGTTCTAACCCATGCCAGCCATATCTGCACAGGGTTCTGCATCCCAGTTACATCTCGTAGAAACAATTGCTGGGCTCATACATTTCATATCTTAACAGAGCAGAGGATTAGGGAATCCTTTACTGAAATTCCAGTGCTGGAGAGATGGAGGCAGGATTGTGAGTCTGAGGTCAGTACGGGCAAGAGTGAGAGCCTATCTGTAAAATAAGGCCAACAATATTTGTAGTTTTCATTTCTTTTTTTCTTTTTACAATTAATAAAATCAATACTCTTTTTCAAATAATCTAGGAATAGGAAGACAAGATATTACTAATATTTTCTCCATCATGATATGTTTGGACACATCTTAAATTGTAATTAAATGCTTTTAATATTTCCAAATTAATAAGCAAATCAATTTAAATTATACTCTAAATTATTTCAATTACATGTTCTATAGTACTTTAACTTCATTCTACTTTTTTATTAAGTATCATAAATAAAACTTTAATAAGCCTCTCTATTAAACATTCCTTGAAGGAAGGCACTGTCGGGGAGCACAAAAACCTTCTCAAGTGGCTGTACATACCCAGCATGTTAATCAAAAGACTGAGCATCTTTGTTTGACTAGCAACTGTTCAGAGCAATAAGCAGCGGAGAACTCAGTCACAGGAGCCTGGTGAACCTCATAGACACTGAATAACTTCTACTGAGGAACTCCATGACTGACTGATCTTTTATTTTATAACAGTTTGTTAAGAGCAGAGTTCTTTTATTATTATTATTATTATTATTATTATTATTATTATTTTATTTTATTTTATTTTATTTTACAATACTATTCAGTTCTACATAACAGCCACAGATTCCCTTGTTCTCCCCCTTCCTGCCCCCCTCCCCTTCCCCCCAGCCCACCCCCCATTCCCATCTCCTTCAGAGCAAGGCCTCCCCCAAGGACTGAGATCGACCTGATTGGCTTGATCTGTTTGGGAGGCATCTAGGCAGTGGTACCAGGTCCTGGGCTCATTGCATGAGTTAGCTGTTTGAAACCTGGGACTTATGCAGGGACGCCTGGCTCAATCTGGGAGGAGGGGACTGGACCTGCTTGGACTGAGTCTAAGAGCAGAGTTCTTTAATGTGGCCAGAAATCTCAAAAAATTTCTTACGTAAAGCCACCAAGTATGTCTTCTAAATCTTCATTGGTCTGAGTCAGCTAAATTCTATCTTAGTGTTAACAATGTTCTATTGAAGTGAAATCAAAGTTGCTTCACTAGTTTGGAAGACTTGATTTACCCTTATTGCTAGAGAAACCCCTCCCATAACGTATACATGCAGGTGTGTGGGTGCTCTTGCACAAGGAGGTGTCTTCCACTCTCACATTCCATCTTATTTTTGAGACAGGGTCTCTCACTGAACCTGGAGCTTGCTCTTCAGCTAGTCCTGGGGATCCAGCTGCCCCTGCTCCCCACAGCTGAGGTTACAGATGCACACCTCTCTAGCCCTGGGGATCCAGCTGCCCCTGCTC